AAAAAAAAAAAAAAAAAAGAGAACTAGATTTCTACTGTTTTATAAGACACTCCTATAAGATGCATACATTTTAGATAAGATAAATGCATTCACCTGCCTCACCCCCCAGTAGATTTGTTACTCCATCTTTCTGTATAAAGGAGAAAAATGTTAGCATTATTTTATTCGTAGATCATATGGCTTCATTTTCATTTATTAGAAATAGACTAATGAAACAACTCGCCCTGTTCTTTAATTACTGCCAAAAATGCCTTCAAATCAACTAATTTAAAACTAAAATGTCACCCACTTTGGTGGATCTCACTAATATTAATCTCTGTTACCTAATATTTAACTACTTTCACTTGATAATCCTTAAGATCCAGGCAACCTCTCAAAGAGACAGTCAATTTTTCTTAGAGGTTACATCAGTTATACATGTTACGAACGCTTGCCTAAGATATTTTTATGGTAAGCAGCTATTTTTGAAAATTCTTCAACCTAAAAGTTTTTCTTCCGTGCTCTGTAGTATAGAATTTTGTGATTTAACTTTCTCTTTGCTCCTTGGGTTAAGTGGACTCCAAACATCTTGAGGAAACTCTTGGTGGTTCCCAAGTGTCCTTACTCGGAGCATCTCTGTGGTAAGATAAAGCGGCCCTCTTGTCTCCACAACTTTCATGAAGAAACAGCTTTGGTTGTATATTAAAGATATACATTTTTCCCCTAGTTGAAATCTAGAATAGTTGTTTGCCAGGTACTTTTAATGGAGGTATAACCTAGAACTCAATACTTGCTTGAGTCTCATTGACAAAACGTCCATCTGTTCTAATTGTTGGATATTAAGTACATTTTACTGCATGTGTCAACTCCAGCTGAGTCCATTTAGAGTCGCTGCCTGGCTCACTGCGTTCTGAGTTCAGCAGAAAAAAAAAAAAAAAAGAGTGTTAATTAATTCAGCCCCGGGGGAATAAGAAAGAGGAAGAGCTACACAGATTTTCATTATCCTGTAATGGATAATGTATTAAATCTAAAGCAATTTTACACACCCCCAAATGCAAAGGCGTAAAAAGAAACATCTATATTCTGCCAGACTACGGAATTTCTATATCAAGCCTCCATTCATAGCTGAAAACAATGATTTCAGGTAACCTCAGGCAACTTAGATTTTTTTCCCCTTCTCTTTCTCCATAGTGTAACATCAATAGTTCACGTCGGGTGGAGGGTGGTAGGAGGGAAGGATGTTGGTACAGTCTTTGGTCATCATCTACCCATGGTAGAAACAATTCAACTGCATACATTTTTTTTTTTTTTGACTTTGGTCATTGGCATGTTTCCATGCTGGTATCTGCAGAGGCTTCATGTTCACAATAGTAATGTGGCCCATGGTGATATCCACTGCTGCATTCCCCCACCCCCAAACCACCAGGACACTTAATGTCTACAGGCTATCTCATTCATTCTCTCCCTGCTTTCCCCTCTCTCTCAACAAACTATGCAAAAAGGCAGGGTTGGGGACTCAAGACTGGACCGAGACTGTGGACTTCCACAGCCCATTCTCTTGAACATTTTGCTTTAGCCTTTGCTTATTGTGGGAGGAAATTACCTTTCTAGAGGGTACTGTGGACATACATGTTAAAGAGTTTTCAACATGTCCATAACCTTTGAACCAGCAGTTACCTGATGGATAATCTAAGAAATCTTGCCCATGAAAAGATTTCTGTGCAAGCATGCTCTGCAAAGAATTAGTTGTTAAAATGAAAATTTGGAAACAGCTGAAATGACCCTCAGTCCTGGTCAAACAAGGCACTTTGCCATCCCTTCCTAATAAGCTGACCCTCTCACTTTGGATACTGCAGGTTTATGGGACCGTCTTCCACATGAACCAGGGGAACCCTTTCAAGCTAAAGGCCCTGGTGGACAGGTGGCCTGATTTTAATACAGTGGTTATCCGCCCTCAGGAGCAGGTAAGGTGCCAGATGTGACATGAATTTGCATCTGTGTTTGTATTTGCTATGTGCCTACCGTGTGCCTGGCAACGTGGTAGACCCTGGGGCTACAGAAATGAATTGCAGTGATAGTGAACAAGTCCTTGCCTTTAAGAACCCCACAGCCTGGAGGAGATTACAGGTAAGTAAATAAATTACAACTTAGTGTAAAATGTTCAAAAACAGAAAATGTACAATATACGGAGATAGCACAGGCAAAAGCTGATTAAACTATGGAGTCTGGAGATGGAGGTTACAGGATCAGATTAGATATACTACTTAGTGGATGTTTCATCTGAACTGGATTTTGTAGATAAATATATCTTTGTTAGGCTGACAAAGAAAGGAGGACATTCTAACCAGAGAAAGTAACAAGGACAAAGATAGGAAGGTATGAAACAGGACAGTTAGTTGGCTGATTATAAAAAAATTTTTTTATAATATTAGAATTTCCATATGCATTTTGGGGAAACATTTAAAAATTAGTGAAACTAAATAGTTAATACATTTCAAAGACAAAAAGCCCTAAGTTTATTTTAAAACATCCAGTAAAATTACAAATTTATAAAAATACAAATATATCTTTCCTACAAATAATAAGTTATTTAAAATCCATGGAATTAAACAGTATATAATATGAAGAAATTTATATTAATAATAAAAACTGAACTGCAATAAGATTATTTGACCTTTTATCTTAAATGGATCTTAAGAAACAAAATGTGTTAGTGGTATCATTGCTGACTTGTGAGTGTATTTTTGTGCAACAATTCCAACTATTTTTGAAAAGGTTTCTAATTCTGCACTCAAGATAATATTTTCCTGTGCCTTCTTCCAAATAATCACATCTCTTATTTAATAATTTGAGGGGATATTTCCAAATAAGTGGTTTCTTTGTTTTTCTGTAATTACAATTTGTTCAACTATTGTATTATTTTATGAAAGCATTTCTAACTGGTTTTCATCTTCTTTGTCTTAATTTAGTATAGATGGAAATGTCAATCCAGAAATGTCAATGACCAAATTTAATACTGTCATCTTCATAGCTTGTGTATTCTGCAAGTGTTTGAAGTATAGAAAAATTTATTCTTGCAACAGAAGCTTTTCCTTGTCAGTTGCTTTTCTCTTCTTCCTGTTGAGGAAGATGAAAATATAGAAGAATTCTTTCTAAATAGTTGTGTCTTTGCTTGAGTTGAAATTTTCACACAATATATGGGTAGAGAATAGTACTGTTCTGCCGCTTTTCATCATAATTTGAACACCTGAATCTCCCATCTTGATCTCATGATTTAAATGATTCAGAAAAATTTCTAATGCACCAACACAAACACCAATATTTTAGTACTTAAAAATACCACAGTATAGTAGAATTTAGAAAAAAGTATTACAATCATGAAAAATAAGACATTTGTTTTGCCCCCCTTTTCTCAATGATAACAGGACATGACAGATGATCTTGATCACTACACCAATACTTACCATATCTACTCCAAAGACCTCAAAAACTGTCAGGAATTCCTCAGCTTACCAGAAGTCATCAACTGGAAACAGCATTTGCAGATCCAAAGTAAGTATAAAAGGAACGGAATCTGTGCTGAATCACATCTCCATCCTGAACAATTTCTCCTATGACATGTATCTCCTTTCTCCAAGCCCCAGACCCTCAGCCTGCTGTCAGTTTTTTTACTCAGCTGCAACTATACCTGTAAAGGGGGAAAAAACACCCTCAAAGTTTATACCTAATGGGCTTCATATAGAGGACTGCAATGTAATCCCCTGAGAGCTAAGGATTTATGGCATATTTTGTGGACATATCCAGGATGCCTTAGGGTGGTTGGGTATCAAAGCAGAGCTTTCCCCAGGGTCTTTCATTCCTAGAATTGGAATGACAACTTGTGCCACAGAACACCTCCTAGGTCATAAAGAGCAACTTATATGGTTATGAGCGTGGTCTCCAGAGTCAGACTACCTAGGATGGCATTTGCCTGTTACTTTGCCATATAATCCTAGCCAGGGGCTTGTCCTATCTGAGATCCTGACTTTCATATATAAAAACGAGGGTAATAATTGTACCTAGGACTTCCCGGGTGGTGCAGTGGTGAAGCATCCGCCTGCTGATGCAGGGGACACGGGTTTGAGCCCTGGTCCAGGAAGATCCCACGTGCCATGGAGCAGCTAAGCCCGTGATCCACAACTACTGAGCCCGCGTGCCACAACTACTGAGCCTGTGTGCCACAACTACCGAAGCCCGCATGCTCTAAGGCCCATACTCCGCAACAAAGAGTAGCCCTTACACACCACAACTAGAGAAAGCCCGTGCGCAGCAATGAAGATCCAACACAGCCAAAAATAAATAAATAAATAAATAAATTTACTAAAAAAATAAAAAATAAATAATGGTACCTAAAACATAGCAGTGTTGAAAAGATTAAATGAAATCTTAGCTAGGAATTGCTTAGTGCAATACCTGAATGTTTCAGTTAACTTTCACTACATAGCAAACCTCATAATTCTGTGAATCAACAATTGGACTGGGCTTTGCAAGGCAGTTGTTCTGCTGGTCTCCTCTGGGTGTAGCTATGCATCTACAGTCAGTTGATGGGTGACTGTGGGCTGGTTGCTCTAAGATGGCCTAACTTACAAGTCTGAATGATGGTCTGACTGTCAGTGCTGGCTAGGCCCTGGTGACATCATGATAAGAGCACATGTCTTCAGCAGGCTAGCCGTGGCCTTTTCATGTGGTGTTGGCCTCAAGGTAACCAGAAGCACAAAGACATGGTGAGCCCCAATGTGCAAGCATTTTTAAGCCTCTCTCTGCATCAAATTTACTCTTTCCCATTGGTAACACAAGTCATATGGCCAAGGTCAGATGCAGTGCAGGAGGGGACTATTCCAGGGAATGAGTACAAGGAGATGTGGGCAAACTGTGGGCCATTACTGCAACAATCTACAGCATTGGGAACATAGTAAGTACTCCAGAGATGTTGGCAACTACGGTTATTATTATTTTTTAAAATTTTATTTATTTTTGGCTGCGTTGGGTCTTCGTCGCTGTGCGCGGGCTTTCTCCTATTGGGGTGAGCGGGGGCCACTCTTCGCTGCAGTATGCAGGTCCCCCATCGCGTTGGCCTCTCCCATTGTGGAGCAGGGGCTCCAGGCGCGCGGGCCCCAGTAGTTGCAGCTCGTGGGCTCAGCAGCTGTGGCACACGGGCTCTAGGGCTCAGGCTCAGCAGTTGTGGCTCACGGGCCTAGTTGCTCCACAGCAGGTGGGATCTTCCCAGACCAGGGATTGAACCCGTGTCCCCTGCACTGGCAGGCGGATTCCCAACCACTGCTCCCCCAGGGAAGTCTCGGCAACTATAATTATTATAACTCACCTTCTTTGATCATCAAAACTGCATGATTGGGCTTCCCTGGTGGCGCAGTGGTTGAGAGTCTGCCTGCCGATGCAGGGGACACGGGTTCGTGCCCCGGTCCGGGAAGATTCCACATGCCGCGGAGCGGCTGGGCCCGTGAGCCATGGCCGCTGAGCCTGCGCGTCCGGAGCCTGTGCTCCGCAACGGGAGAGGCCACGGCAGTGAGAGGCCCGCGTACCGCAAAAACAAACAAACAAAAAACCTGCATGATTACGTAGCCCAGAAAACTTAGTTCCAGTCTTGGTATTGCCTCTAATGGCATGACCATGGCTGAATGAATTTCTAGGCATGCTTTTGCTTTTCCAAAACAAGGAAAATTGCACAAATCCTGATTACATGAGCCCGTTCATACATTAGCAGCACCGAGCCCATCACCAAAATTCTCTGCCTAGAAATCCTCAGACACTTCCTACTCCACTGGAGAGCTTCTCCAGTGGACATAAATCATTGCATTTCTCCTTATAATCCCATCTAGGTTCACAGTCCAGCCTGAATGAAGTAATACAAAGTCTTGCAGCCACTAAATCCTTCAAAGTCAAGCAATCACAAAACATTCTCTATATGGCGATTGAGGCAATAAGGGAACTGGCTCCTTCCCTGCTGGATGTAAAGAACTTATCACTTAGCCATGGCAAACCCAAGGCCATGTGAGTTTGATAAAAGCTACCCTACGCTACTTACACCTCTCACTACCAAAGTAGCCTCCCCACTTCTCTTTCTGCTTTTGCTCTGGCTGCCCACAATTGATCTTTTTCAAAGCGGCCAGAATAATCTTTTTTAAAAACGTAATTCAAACCGTGTTTCTCCCCTGCTTAAAATACCCCACCATTTCTTTTCTCACCTGGAGTATATCCAGCCTATGTCAACTTCTTTGACCTGTCTTGTCCTTCTAGCTCACTCAGTCCAACAACATCGGCCTTCTTTCTGTCCCTCTGTCATTACAAGCTCACTTATACTCCAGAATTTGCGTTCGCTATTTCCTCTGCCTACTCTGTCTCTCAAGATACTAGAGGTAAGAACAAATATAAACCTCTAAACTCATGGACTTTGCTTTTCTCTTGGAACATCCATAGTGACCAAGAGATGTTTAAACTCTCATCGTTGGATCCTACCCACGCTGCCGTGGTGAATAAATTCTGGCATTTCGGTGGCAATGAGTGGAGCCAGAGATTCATCGAGCGCTGTATCCGGACCTTCCCCAACTTCTGCCTGCTGGGGCCCGAGGGGACCCCTGTGTCCTGGTCCCTGATGGACCAGACAGGAGAGATGCGGATGGGGGGCACCCTACCTGAGTACCGGGCCCATGGTCTCGTCACCTACGTCATCTATTACCAGACCCAGGCTCTGATCAAACGTGGCTTCCCCGTGTATTCTCATGTAGACAAGAATAACAAAATTATGCAGAAAATGAGTCACAGTCTGAATCATATCCCTGTGCCCTGTGACTGGAACCAGTGGAACTGTGTGCCTCTGTGAAGCAGCCCTGAATCCAAGACGGTACGGGATGGGCCTGAGGATGCAGCTGGAGGAGCCGACGGGTGGGTGGAGGGAAAGAACCAATTGTAACTGTAATCATAGGTAAAGGAGTGGACATTGTGTGGGTCCCGGGGCAGCAGTGTGAATGGTCGACAGGACCACTACCGTCGATGGGCTGGCCTTAGATATCTCAGCATAAGCAGCATCCAGTCCTCCTGCAGTGGTTTCATAGTTATGTCCCCCATGCTTCCAGTATCTCCGCCATGCTTCTTCATCTGCTACATGTTGCCCCAAATGGCTTCCCCTGGGACTCTTAGGGCATGGGCTGGTAGACCCTTGCCAGTTTTTCCAGGGAGGGCTAACACTTCCTGGGCATTACGACTTATTCCTCTCTTTCTATGGCTTTTCCCTTAGTGAGGAGCAAGTGGACTCTACTCTTTAGGTCTGTAGACATTATCCTCTCCTCTGATTGCTACTTTATAGGTATATCAAATATGTTATATACAAATATATATGGTATATTATGTTAAATATGACATGCATGATATAGCAGGGAGAGTTATTAAGAAAAAGACTAACTTATGTTAGCCTGTCCCCCCCAACCCTTCCACTCTGGGGAAAATGATTCAATATTGTTCCTAAAAGCTGAGCTTCCTAAAGTCACCTGAAACCCTCAAACAATAAAGAGATTTTGCATTTGATTGTATAAGCTGAAGCTAAGTGGTTCGTGACGGGGAAACATGGCGTGAGCTAATGGGGAGAGGAAAGTGGGAACAACCAGCCCCAGGAAGGTGGGGATTTATTGAGAAGAGATGGAAGTTGAGGGGGTGGGGGGTATAGCATGGATGCCTACTGTTCCGCTTGACCTTGGCATATTACTTCAAGATGCCAGAATTCTGTACAGTTCAGACCATTGTCTCATGGGAGAATCTGGTTGCTGGTGTGGAAAGATATTCTTCCTGGTTGGGACAGGTCAGGTGGGAGAGTTTCCTGCCCCAGCCCTTCGAGAGAAACAGCACTAAACACGAGTACCGGGCAGCAAACAGAGCAGCTGAATGAAGGTGATCACCTGGATTAAGAACTCGTTGCCTCTGGTCCACCTAAGCCTGAAATTAAGCTGTGGAATTGGGGATGAAGACCCCCACAAATATACATGAGCGTGCGCGTGCGCATGCGCACACACACACACACACACACACACACACACACACACACAACTGAGGTTTAATTTCTTCGCCAGTTGAGCGAGTGAAGGCTCAGTTTAGATCAGGTTTCTCGACTTTGGCGCAACGGACATTTTAGACTGGACAATTCTTTGCTGTAGGTCTGTCCTGTGCATTTGTAGAATGTTTAGCAGAATCCCCAGCCTCTACCCACTAGATGTCATTAGCACCCTCCATCCCAATTATGACAACTAAAAATGTCTCCAGATATTAGTAAATGTCCTCTGGAGGCAAAGTCACCTCTGGTTGACATTTAGTTTAGTGGTTCTCAAAGTTGAGCCTGCTTCAGAATCACTTAGCAGGCTTGTTCAAACAGGTTGCAGGGCCTCACCCCTAGATTTTCTGATTCAGTAGATCTTGGGGAGAGTTCCAGAATTTACACGTCTAGCAAGTTTCCAGGTGCTGTTGATGCTGCTGGCCCAGGGACCATACTTTGAGAACCACTGGTTTAGTGAAATAATAGAATATATCTTATTCCCTAGACCATAGATGAAAATTCTGATGCCATACTACTTTCATTTCTGTATGAGTACAAGTTGATACTCCCCTCCAAGAATCCCCTGTAGTCGTCAGGGAGAGAGAGGCTTTGTGGTTCTGAAACAGGGAGAAGGAATTCAGGCTTTGGTAAAGGAAAACACACACTGGTGGCAGCATATAGCGGGACATTGTTGATAGCTAACATCTTGGCTCATTAGCTCCAAGACCTGGCCCTGCAACAGCCTGTAGGCTCCAGGGCTGGAGCACCTCAGGCCAAACAACTAACTAGGCAGGAACACATCCACCCCCATCTGCAGACAGGCTGCCTAAAGACTAAAGAGCCCACAGCCACCTCTGGGCTTGCCTCCAGACACGGCCTAGCCCACCAGAGGGCCAAGACCCAGCTCTGCCCACCAGTGGACCGGCCCCTCTCACCAGGAAGCCAGACCATGCCTCTAGACCAGCCTCGCCCACCAGAGGGCAGACACAAGAAGCTAAAAAACTACAATCCCACACTGCAGGCCAGATCCTACACTGGCACTGGCTGGGCCCTGGCCCAGCCCACTAGCTGGCCAACGCAACCTTTAGGACACCCTGGACCCCATACCCAACTGACTCAAGAACCACCCCCCACCAATAATATTAAATGAGCTCTGGGATTCCAGAGCCAGATTCTAGGACCCAGCTATGCCTACCAGTAGTCTGGCCCTAACCCCAAGATCTGACTTAACCAGCCAGTGGGTGGGCAACAGTCCCAGAGCCTTTGGGACCCTGACTCCGCCCACCGGTGAGCCAGCACTAGCTCCAGGGACCCCCTAGGATTCTGCAACTAGCCACCTCAGGACCAGGCCCCACTAAATAGCAGCCAGCTACATCCACACAAGGCAGGGCCTGGCAACCGACCAGATGGGGGCCTACCTGACTGCCCGCACACTTAGCCCACCCCAACAGAAAAACCCATGTAGCGTTCTTAGGGGGAACGCCTAAAGCACGTAGCTTGGGTGTCGAGATGGGAGTGCACTGCTGGGACACAGGATGCCTCCTACAGAGGGCCACTTCTCCAAGGCCAAGAAATGTAACTAACCTACCACATACATAAAAATACAAATAGCAACTTAGAGAAAATGAGGCAGCAGAGGAATATGTTTCAGGTGAAGGAACAAGATAAAACCCCAGAAGAACTAAGTGAAGTGGAGATAGGCAACCTACCTGAGAAAGAGTCCAGAGTAGTGATCACAAAGATGACCAAGGAACTTGGGAGGATAGTGGATACACAGAGCAAGACGTTATAGTAAGTCCCCTACATATGAACGAGTTCCATTCCAAGAGTGTGCTTGTAAGTCCAATTTGTTCGTAAGTCCAACAAAGTTAGCCTAGGCACCCAACTAATACAATCAGCTGTATAGTACTGTACTGTAATAGGTTTATAATATTTTTCACACAAATACTACATAAAAAACAAACAGGGGCTTCCCTGGTGGCGCAGTGGTTGAGAGTCCGCCTGCCGATGCAGGGGACGAGGGTTCGTGCCCCGGTCCGGGAAGATCCCACATGCCGCGGAGCGGCTGGGCCCGTGAGCCATGGCCGCTGAGCCTGCGCGTCCAGAGCCTGTGCTCCACAACGGGAGAGGCCACAACAGTGAGAGGCCCGTGTACCACAAAAAAAAAACAAAAAACAGACACAAAAATAAAGAAAACATTTTTAATCTTACAGTGCAGTACCTTGAAAAGTTCAATAGTACAGTACAACAGCTGTATGCCCCTGGCATACAGGGGCTGGCATTGAGTGAACAGGCAAGAAGAGTTACTGACTGGAGGAGGGAGAGAAGGGAGGAGATGGTAGAGCTGAAGGATCGTCAGAAATAGGAGATGAAGGGCAAGGTATCTTTTCTCCTCACTCCAGTCTCTCAATTCTTTTCACTTTTGTTTCCATTGTTATTGCTTGGCACTTCTTAGCAGTACCGGCTACCTCACTGCTGCTTTTACACTCGCTTCCAGACATCCTGGGCTTGAAAAAAGATACTGTACCACTGTACTCTATACAGTGCTGTACAGTAAAGTACACAAAAGCACAGCCACTTGTAGAGGAGGCACCCACGTGACAACGTACGCCAGACACGTGACCTAACTTACGTGATTAGACATGCGACCGTATGTTTGCATCTTTGAAAGTTCGAAACTTGAAAGTTCATACGTAGGGGACTTACTGTAGAAAATTTTAACAAAGAGTTAGAAAATATAAAGAACAACCAAAGAGAGATGAAGAATATAATAACTGAAATGAAAAGTACACTGGAAGGAATCAGTAGTTGACTAAATGAGGCAGAAGAATGGATCAGTGAGCCGGAAGACAGAGTAGTGGAAATTACTGCCACTGAACAGAAAAAAAGAAAAAATAAAGAATGAAAAGGAGCAATCCAGTGTCCTTAAAGATGAAGATAAGATATTTTATGGGAAACAAGACTTCCCAGCCTTTGGTGGGTTTATTTGGATATCCTTTTAACATGTTGATTGCCTTATTGTTTGAGGTAGGTGGCAAAGAAATATCTGGGATACCCCAGGGTTTATGCCCGTGCCTGTCTAGAGACTTGAAGTCTCCAGACCCTGAGTATCATTGCTCAATTGTCTTGGTAACTTTCTTATTTGTTTTAATTGCAGGATTTCCTGTCTAGGATAAATAATAATGCTATATCAAGGGCTTTCATGAGGAAAAGATAACACAATGCATGTGAAAGTGCTTTACAACCGCTACATGTTGTATAGTTACAGAATATTGCTTTAATATGCCTAAATCTAGTACCCTGGGTAATGGGGTAAAAACATGGGACTGGGGTCAGGAATGTATCTGAATTACGAGTATGGCTCAGCCACTCAGTGTATGATACTGGGCAAATCCCATCAACACTGTAGATTTTGTTTTCCCATTTTTTTAAATGCAGATAAAAATACATGCACTTGTAAAACTAGATATGAAAAGGATTGCATAAATGCAAGTTAGAGAATTGGCTCAAGATTGCAGATGGAGCCCAGTTATCAGTTGCTGAATTCTCATCAAATGATTGAATTAACATCAATAAGAGTCAGGGAAGAGAAAAAAGAATGTATTGATGCTCCAGATGTGTTGGGTAATTCCTATAAGCTGGAGAATGAAAAGGAGTAAGATTATGGTGAAATAAAAGTGTAAGAAACTGCCATCTGTAATACATGTGTGAAATGTCAACTAGCAGACCGTGGGAGGCAGAATCGGCCCAGAGTCAAGAGAAAAACAAACTAGAATAAACCTAACTCAGGCCTGTTATTGGTCAGAGCTAGATTATGCAAGCGTGGCTGGTTGGCCTTTGATTCCATCCTGATTTTTGCTAAGCATTTTGCAAATGTGAGTGTTACCAGAGGAGAAGAC